ATTGCTTTAATGATATTTTATGGCTCTTTTTTTTTTCAAGTGATAACTTGTCTTATAATTTTAATTTGACAGAATGTGTCAAATCAAGAAGTAGGACTGTCAAATAGCCAAAACAAAGTGGTAGTTATTTTTTATGATAATGATAAAAATGCTATTTCTATTTTATCTTATCATAACCTGTTATATTCACATTGTACTTTTGCATGCAGTATTTAATGAACCTTAGGGCAGGCATGTGAATTAGGCAAGGTATAGGGTAATAGCCCATTTTGTAGATGAGATAGTGTCGGTCATGATAGATGAAGTGCTTTGTAGTTCTTTGAAGTGGAAAATCTTGGCTTCTTAGAACCCAGATTTTCTGACTCCTTGGCCCAAAGAATAGAATTGTAATACTGGTCTCCTAAAGAGCCAACAGAGTGTTTTTACTTATTTTTTAGGTATAGAACTACCTGTTGGTGGTAGTCTGATTGCCACCAGCAATGAGTAACAGGCAACCATGAAAGCCAATTGAGAAAAACCGAAGCAGACATAAATCAAAAAGCATCACTATCTGGTGCCACTTTGTCAAAGGGTACAAGGCCTCCATATACTTTAGTAGTTTACAAGTAGTTGCTTTATTCTAACATCATAAAATAAATTGCTGTAGAAATAATTATTTTAGAAAAGTGTAAAGGAAGACTTACTAAGTTTTATTATCTTGATTCTTTATGATTTTGTATAAAACAAGCACTGTTGTGTTAACCTCTTATGACTCAAGATTTTAACTAATGTTTTTTTTTTTGTACTGGTCAAATTCTTGGTAACTTTAGTATGACAACTTCGTATTACCTCTTGATCAGTCAGTTTTCACTGAAATTATTTACAGCTTTCAATTCTGATCCTCCTAAATATGAGTCATTGTCTGTAATACAGAATGATACTTGGCTCTGCCTCTGACATCGGGCAGAGGAGCACTGAAAAGTACAGTGCTAGTCATTGGAAGTGGGAGGTAAAAGGTAATGCAGTTTGGGTGACCACTGAGACCTTAAAATCTGAAGCCAGGAGGTAGAAACCTCCTACCAGAGTAAGAAAGGCATAAGGCTTGTGCTCTCTGCTTGGCAGATTTGATCTCCCTTTCCTTTTTCCTTGTCCTGAGAAAGAGCTGTCCCCCTTTTCCCTTGGGAGCTCACTTTTGGCTTGCTTTCCTGGCTATCTTCATTACAATGCAGTGTGAGAGCAACTTCATTGTAAGGGGATTTAATGGACAAATATTGCAAGTGAGCAAATATGTTTGGAAATGAGACTTTGGCATTTTTTCATATGTTAATTCCCTTATAAATAGGAAAAATACTTTGTTAATATGAATCAAAGTGCTTTTCTCCCTTAATGTAAATCAATGCTTAATTATTCATCTTTCTCCAGTGAATGAATCTCTGTATTCATTTAGCACCTTTGAGTCAGACCAGTCAGTAAGTGTTACCATGCTATTTCATATCCTTACAGAATATTTTACTAAACTTTTGATCGTTGAAAACTGATAATTTCAGGTATGGTTAAAAACAATAAGATTTCTGTATGTTGCATAGCAACTTATTTTTATGTAGTAATTCTTTAAGTGCATATTTGAAAGAAAACATTTGTTTTTAAAAATTTCTCTTTATTTCATAAGTGAAGTAGAAAAACTATGTATGGATTGATAGCGATATATAAATAATGTATATTTATGCATTAAGAAATTGGAAAGCTATATATATATATATATGGTATAAGATTAACCAATTGAATAATAGGATTTTAGCCAATTTTATTTTGCTTGTGCTTTTCTGTGCCTTTAAGTTTTTGTAAGATGAAGATACACTATTGTTTTTGTTTTTTGGGTTTTTTTTTTTTGTTTTTTGTTTATTTGGTACTGGGAATCAAACTCAGTGTTTGCCAGGCAGACATTGCACCGCTGAGCTACATTCTTTGCTCTACTATATTCTTTTTGTAGGATAAAAAAATTAAGAACTGTGTTCAAGATCTAAGTCTGTAATGAGGTATATTTTGCTCCTGGTTCTCATATATTAAGAATATACTTGCTTTTATTGGTGAAAATATGCTTAGAGGCATCTATCTATCTTATCTATCTATTTATCATATATTAAGAATATACTTGCTTTTATTGGTGAAAATATGCTTAGAGGCATCTATCTATCTTATCTATCTATTTATCATATATTAAGAATATACTTGCTTTTATTGGTGAAAATATGCTTAGAGGCATCTATCTATCTTATCTATCTATTTATCATATATTAAGAATATACTTGCTTTTATTGGTGAAAATATGCTTAGAGGCATCTATCTATCTTATCTATCTATTTATCTATCTATCTATCTATCTACAATTAAAAAGCAGTTCTAAGCCCCTGGAGCTCTTTTCTGAAGTTGATAGCTAGAGGAGACTTAAAAATCCTTCCTTGTTCTGAGCCACAGTAACCTCAGTAAGGCTTGCACTTGTCTTTGCCTTGTCCCTTTTTTCCTATTTTGTCTTGCCCTTTTTTTCATATTTTTTACATGTTGAGTGTAAATACATGAATATAATCTTAGGAATCTTTCACATAGAAATAAATATTTATTGTTATTATGCTAATCTTAAAATATATCATTTTGTGCACATTGCAAATTGTGGAATATTATTATAGATCCTTTATTTATAAGGACCATGACATTTTGTATTTAATAAGTGCTCCTGGATTTCTAGTTCAAATGTTTTTAAATAACTTGCAGCAAGTGAGTTCTTTTTTTCAGTAAATTAACTAATCCGAGATTCTTAATTTAAATTTTTTTTTTTTTTTTTTTTTTTTTTTTTTTTTGGTTTTTTGAGACAGGGTCTCACTATGTAGTTGAGACTCACCTGGATCTCACTATGTAGCCCAGGCTGGTTTTGAACTCACAGCAATTCTCTTGCCTCAGCCTCCCGAGTGCTGGGATTACAGGCGTGCGCCACCACGCCCGGCTTAATTTAATTTTTTAGTAAGACATATTTTGTCAAATTTAGATACCTGTTAATATGTCCTATTTACTGAAATTTTGTTTTGAAAGGATAGGTAAAAATCTAAGACTAAGATTAATATAGGACACTAAAACTTGTCTGCGGGATTATAGTATCTTGAAATTTATTTGTTAGGTTTTTGCAAGTTTATATTTTCCTCTGAATGTAATTAATTTTATTTGTGACCAGTTTATTATTTTTAATACCTATTTTTCCCATCAAAGCCTATTTAAAAATTTGTGCATAATTGATTGAATATTATTTAATCTATGAAGTGTTGATTCCTACTACTTTAATTATTAATGAATCACTATTTTAAAAGAAAGCCATATTTTAAAACTATAGTTTTGTTAACTAAAAACTGAAGGTATTTTGTATTTGATAAGTTTCTAAAATCCCTTTAAACTGTAAAATATATGTGATAAGCTGTTTTTTTATGAGAGGCTTTTGTGCCTGACTTCTCAGTTTCTTCTTAGGCCTTGCAAATGGAATTAAACAGGCACACTTTTCTTGACAATTTGTGCTGGACAAGACTTTTTATTTTATTTATTTTTATTTTTATTTATTTATTTTTTTTTTGGTACCAGAGAACAAACTTGTGTCCTTGCTCTTTTGAGGCAAGTGGTGGCACCACTGAGCTTAGTCCCCAGCCCAAGACTTTTTATATTAAAATGAATGTACACTTTGAATTAAAATTATAAAATGTAAAGGGCTAGGCTTAATGATAGAGGGCTTACCTAGCATGCACAAGGCCCTGGGCTTGATCTCCAGCACCACCAAAACAAAACCAAAATGTGTGTATTTAAGCAAACCTAGGATCATGGAGAGAACTTTTTTGGTTATAGAAGCCTCCATTGATTAATGCCACCAGATTCCCCAGGGAATTTGCATTTACTCCTGGTGGTGTGGAAAAGTCTGGTAAACTGCTGTAATGTAGGGTATGTGCCATAAAATATGCAGTCGTGCTTATTTTGAGATTAAGAGGTAAATCAGCATTTTTAACACATTTTTTAAAGGAAATTTCAGATGAATAAAAAGGTAGATAAATAGTATATTGATCACCCATCTAAACATCATTTATGTTACATAAATACCAAGTTGCGCCAATATTTAAGAATTTTACTTTATGAATATTTGCTAAGATTTGCCAAGATAAGCATTTGTAAGGTCAAGGTACTAACATCAGAAGCATTTCTGAACAAAGATGTTGCAGTTGGTGGATGGGTCTGACTGTGTTCAGCTGTTGCAGAAGCTTGCAGAAATAGTATCATCTTGACTTTAATCTTTCGGTTGTTCAGAGGTAGTGTGTATATTTTTCTTTAACCCCTGGAAGTGTGCCAAATAATTTGTATCCTTTTCTCCATCCTTGGTACCTTTACATAGTCTATGAATAAGATTAATGAGTTGATATTGTAAGCCTACTGAATAGAACCAGTGACACAGAAATCTTCATTTATTATTTGAAAATCCTTTTGGGTAGTATCTAGTTATTTTGGAAACTATACATTGTTTTACATTTATCAGTTTGGGAATGAATTTTATAAACATCAGAACATAGCTGTCAGACAGACCTATGTTCAGATCTCAGCTGGCCTTAGATAATGACTTAATCTTTCCAGGTCTCGGTTCTTTCACATGAAAAGTAGGGATATGAATTGTTTTGCAAATTAAATGAACTAATGCACTCAATACTGATTTTTTTAATATGTTACTTAAATTTTGTGATCAAGTAGGAGGAGTATGTCCTAATTCAAATCTTCAGTGGATAACTGGATTTGAGAAGTACTGTTATTAGCACTTGCCAGATCACTTAGAAAGGAAAGCTAATCTTCATTTTATCAGTTCTAGTTTTCTGACTGGTAGCTATACCATCTAAAGATATGATAGTTAAACTATCGATAGAAAGTGTTCCATTATGTTTGAACATAATATATTGAAAGAAAGCATTGAAAAATAATACCTTGTAATTATTTCTTATCAAATATAGCAAACGCTGGCCTGTTCTATTCTAACTGCACTATTGAGTGAATTCTCAAGTTCAAGTAAGACTAGCAACATTGGACTGAGTATGGAATTCCATGGTAACTGCAAAAGAGTTTTTCAGGTATTGGTATTTTTGTTCTTGTATTTTAATCATTGAACCATCCATTTTTAACTAAATTTATTCCCAGTGGTTGAGAACATTTGTTTTTATAGCTGAATAGTTGCTTGTACCTGAGGATTTGTGTTGTGATTTTATAAGATGTAGGAAAGTGATAGGTTTGGTGAATGTAGTTGACAGTTTAAAATTGTTTAATTCTAGTCTTAAAAAGAGATTCATGATAAAGAGCTCATAGTTTATTATTTTCGTGTTTAGGTGTAACTATCTCAATTGATAGAATTTTGCTGGCCTTAAAAATAAGACTAGCAGAAGGCCATATATTACAATGTTATTGCAGTTGGTGTGGGCTCTTTGCCTCTCATGTGTATTGTTTAGCTCTGGAGTAAAGTTATGTGAAGGCACTGACTTAAATCCTATGGCTGTGCATGATAGCACCTGACTCCTCAGGCTCTGCAGTACTGTCAAAAGACTTGCTTCTCCATGGAGTAGCATTTATACTACAATACATAGTGCCACTTGAAAACATATTGTGAAGTATGTAAAATATATTGTGAAATTGTAAATTTTAACTAGAAGCTTCAAGATGGAAAATGTTCTAAAGGAAATAATGTTTGCCTCTAGAAATTTTGAAGTTCTTGTTTGTTTGGTTTTATGGTTCTGAAAGGGAATATATTTTGAGTAAATTTCCAATATGAAAATATTTGTGATTGATTGATGATAGGAAGAAGACCTTCGCCAGATCTTCATGTTGACTGTTGAAGTTCTGCAGGAGTTCAGCAGGCGGGAAAACCTTAATGCACAGATGTCCTCAGTGTTTCAGCGTTACCTTGCACTGGCCAATCAAGTCTTGAGCTGGAACTTTCTTCCTCCAAATTATATCCTTTTAACAACTGATTAGTTACTTATGGTGATTTTTACAGATGACTTAATTATGACTCAGATCATTTTATTTATATCTACAGGTTTGGTAAAAATATATATATTTTTTTTTAAGAAATGGAATTTTAGCCAGGGATTTTAGCTCAGTGGTTCTGCTGCCTGCCTCTCAAGTGCAAGGTCCCAAGTTCAATCCTGGTACCAAAAAAAAAAAAGAAATGAAATTTTATCTTATAATGCCACCATGTAGCAGACTAGGTAGGAGATTTAAAATTGGATTTACTACTTTGTAGAAGGCAGTTGGATACATGGAAACATTTGATGGCTATTAGAGTAGTTTTCCTTGGGAAAGAAAAGGAAACAATGGAAAATGTATTTTTATAAAGAAATGGAACCATTTTATCCTTGGCTATATAATTACATTAGATTTTTAAATTCACTTTCCTTCAGGTTGGTTTGGAGTACTTAATCTTTTTTTTTTTTTTTTTTTTTTTTTTTTTTTTTTTTATTTTTTTTTTTTTTTTTGTGATACTGGGGGTTGAACTCAGGACCTTGCAATTGTGAGGCAGGTGGTGGTGCCACTGAGCTAAATCCCTGGCCCCTGGAGTATTTAATCTTAATGGATGTTATTCAGGTATAGATAATAAGTCAGTAAAATGTTTTTTTCCTTAAAGGCCTTTACAAATATAAAAAGATGAAAAAGTTCAGCTTTAGGAAATACTATATACAAAATAAACTTAAATGTATTACAGATACACATAAATATATGCTTTTTTAAAATCCGCTACTAAGCTGGAGAAATTTGTATTTGAGAAAATAGTTCTTTAAGTTTTTGGATTAACTATTCTAGAATATCTGCCTGTTGTTAGATTTATGAAGTAATGTACTGCATAGTATCTACCCATTTGAGCATACTTAAATCAGGCAAGCCTGGGTTCAAGCTTCAGCTGATCTTACATAAATTACTGAACCTTTTTCAATTATAACTTTTCCTAGCACAAAAAGAAGAAATGGATTATTGTGTGAGTTAAATGAGGCAATATGTTTAAAACACTCAGAGTTAGGTACTGTTTATGGAGCTCTTAATAGTTTGTCTTGTAGCTGGCTGTCATGATCTTTCCTGGATCTAGTACTCTTCTATATGATCTAAGAAATTTAATGTAACCTGTTCTAGGTATATTTAATCAGCTCCTTCTTGGGGCTCTTGGCAGGTCAATTTATGGAAAAAAAAATAATAAGGAAATAAAAAATAGGTACTGAATCATGTTAGGGATTTAGGATAAATTAATTTTTTTTCCAACAGAGCTAAGAACTGCTATATTTACATACACAAAGTTTAATTGTAGTTGATAAAACTGTGAGATTTAAAAAGGTAATCTTCCTTTTCAGCTTGTATGTAGTAGAAAACCCAACTGTGAAAGGTTATAGGGTTAAAGTGAATCTCTGAATCTCAACCTGAGCTTTTTCCATTGTTCTTTCCTGAGGACAGTGACAGGAGAGACCATGAGGTTAATGATTTTCTTTTGTCTGTTCTTTTTGGTTTGCTTTTTGAGACAGGATCTGCTTTGTGGGCCAGGCTGGCCTTGAACTCATAGCAATTCTCTTGCCTTAGCTTCCCCAGTGTTTGGATTACAGATGTGCACCACTATACCCACTTTGTTTAATCACCTTTCTCTTAGTAACCACTTTTCTATCTTTAGCATATTAGTTTAATTCTTTTGATTTAAGAGGCACATTTTTTCTTGTCTTTGCTTTAAAAAAATTTCCCCTTGAGTGTTGTAATTTTTTTTTTTCTTGTTACCTATCAGGGATTGAACTCAGGACCTTGTCTTTGCCAGAGCTAAATCCCTGGCCTCTGAAATATTGTTTTTGCTCCCAGTTTTTTGTTTTTAAAAGATAGGGACCATAATTAGAGGTTTAGGGATCACTGTAACAGGATTTTGCAATTGTTGGGGGAGAATAGACCAAACTCCTGCTCCAATTTTTTTTAGTAAAGAAAATAAAAGATGTTGAGAAACCTTAGAACAGATTTTAAAAGTATCAGACCATATGGAGCTTTCAAAACATTAATTATATATGTAGGGAAAAATCAACGCAAGTTACACTGCATATTTTGTAGCCAATTTTAAAGTGTCTGTTTTAGGGGAAAATGTAGTTGGCAGAGTGACTATTTTGTAAAGGGAAACAGTTCTCTGGGAGTTTGAAAACAAAGTTTTTCTGAAAGATACACACATGTAATATTTTTTAATGTCTTTAGATAAAGTTTTAGAGAAATGTGTCATCTGAGAATAAGCACTATTGCAGAGTTGCCAAAGGAAGTAATTCCTTGTTTTAAGAAAGTGTATCTTGATCTTGAGAACGTTCTTCTACTTCATGGCTGTTGGGTACTTTTGTGAGCATAGATTGTTGTACAGTTCCATTATTTGGCTGACCGCTATAGCTAAGTGTTCCTTCATTTGAGTGGATGAGCTTTAGATGTAAGAGAAAGAACTCTAGGTGATGCCATTAAACTATACTGCAGTTTTAATGCTAACTAGGAAATCAGTTTCAAGGTACTCAGTTCTGATTAATTTCTAATTAAGGAAATTGTGTAAAGATTACCATTTAATCTGCAGGGAAATAATTGAATAATTAGTTGTCTTCGTTTTCATGGAAAGAGATTAAAATTTCACTGAGTTAAAATGCGTTGATGGCTTTTAAAAATGATTTGTGTTTTAGAGTGGATGAATAGCAAGCCTTGTAAAATATTTGCGTACTCTGTATAAAATACATTTGATGTTTAGAATGGTGTCATGTTAAATGAAGCTATATTAAATTATCAATATTAATCCTCTTTAATAATTTTTTATAATCTGTTTTTATGTATTTCAGGTGTCGTGAATAGCTGGACACTCTCAGCTAGATTCACCAATTGCTCACATTTTGTCCCATTCTCTCTCCATGCACATACACAAATATATGAATTTACATATATTTATGTATATATTTAAATCTTTCTTGGGTGTGTTTTGTTTTGTTTTGTTTTGTTTTTTGAGACAGGGTCTCACTATGTAGTTGAGACTGACCTGGAACTCACTATGTAGCCCAGGCTGGTCTCGAACTCACAGCGACCCTCCCGCCTCAGCCCTCGAGTGCTGGGATTACATGCGTGCGCCACGACGCCCGGCTTCTAAAGTCTTCTTGAAACCATTTGAGAGATGTAGTAGACATTACACTCATTTACCTCTGAGTACTTCACTGTATACTTGACTAAAAAATCAAAAGGTTTTTGAAATTGTACTATAGTTTTTATAAGAAAATATCTTGCAAAACCATACAGTTTTCATTGCAAGAAGTATATCATTAAGAAAATATTTGATCTATATTCTTGATTCAGATTTTGTCAGTTGGCTCAGTATACATTTGCCTATTCTGGTTATTTTATATAAGCATAATCATGTAATATGTGGCCTTTTATGTTTGTTTAGCTGCTCTTCAGTCTTGTATATTCTAATCTACTCCAAGGTACTCTGTTCAGACAGTACTTATTTTATTGCTATATAATCTATTACATGTCACATTTTTATTTACCATTCAAGAGTGATACTGCTGCCAAGTGCAGTGTTCACTTGCACCCAGGAGTTTAAGGCCAGCTGGGTAACATAGTCAGACCCTTTTTCTTTTCTGTGGTGTCCTTTGAAGTTCAGGAACTTTTAGTTTTGATGTTCAGTTTATTAATTTTTCTTCATTTTTTTTTGTCATATCTCAAAAATCATGCCTTAGTCACAGTCACTAATATTTGTATTTTTGCTTCTTTTGTGATATTTCTTATACATGTCTTTGATCCATTGTTGAATTAATCATTATACATGGAGTGATATAAAAATTCAACTTCAGTATTTACATCCAGTTGTACCAGCAGATAACTGTTGATTAGAAAGATAGGAGATGGGGGCTGGGGATTTAGCTCAGTGGTTCTGCCACCTGCCTCGAAAACAAAAGGTCCCAAGTTCAATCCCTGGTACCAAAAAAAAAGAAAGATAGAAGAGGATGGTAGAATGAGAAATACCAGAGAAAGCACTATGTTGGTAAATGGTTGCTGTCTCTTACCAGTATGTATCTGCTGTCTCAGTTGCTCTAACATAACTTTTCAATTGAGAATACAAGTGAATCCACACAAGGAGAAATTACTTGAGTCACTCGAAATAAAGTTAAATATGCATGCTCAACCTTTAGTAGGTACTTCATAAATACTTTTTGTCAAGAAAAGTATGTGACCATAAACCAAAATGTGTATTAGAGAACTGGGAATGTTAGTTCAGTAGTAGAGCACTTGTCTACCTGGCATGAGGCCCTGGATTCATTCACCAGTACCATTAGAAAAATATAAAGAGAACCAGTATATCTGTTACGTTGTACAGAAGGAAAATTTGAGGCCTTATCTTTGGAAATTTCTCATAGAGTACTACATTATATAAAATATGACAGTAAATTGTCATTGGGAAAACCAGTTGAAGCTGACTTGAGTGCAGAGCTAGGATGTAAAGAGATGTATAGACAAAAGAATGCAAAGATTAGATATTTAGGTATTTATTAATACCTAGGCATTTATGAATACTTATGAATTATACTGTTGTATTTAATAACTTACTTTGTGTTCTTAGGTCAAGATTTATGTACATGCAAAATTTCACCAAAGAAATAGCTCTATAGTAGTGATTTTGAATTGAGTGCCATTTTGCCCACCTGGAACATTTTATAGAGTATGGAGAAAAATTTAGTTGCCACAACTGGAGGAGTGCTACAAGCAACTCGTGGGTAAGGGCTAAGATACTGATAGATGTTCAACAACAAACAGGACAACCCTGCAGTAAATGGGCCCAAAATGTCAGTAGTAATCCATACAAAAAGTTGTACTTGGGTGTTTATAACAGTACTATTCATTATGGGCAAAAAGGAGAAAAAAAATGAAATGTCTGTCAATTGATAAATGGATAAATGAAATATACATCCACTGCAT